TGCGCTCCGCCCGGGGCGGCCCGATCCGTGGGCCCGGGCAGCCGAGAGCACCCTCCTGCCGCCCGGGCGGGGACCCCGCCGGCCCGGCCCTTGGCGATCGAACCGGGCCGCTTGTGCTGGGCCTGCCCGGGACAGGGACCCTCTGCCGGCCCCCAGTGTGGGACACAGCCGGGGTGGGAGCGGGCAGCGAGCTCGGGGTGCCCGCAGCCAGACCCCCGCCTCTGCAGGCAACCCCCGGGCAGGGGGGCGAGGGGGAAGGGGCGCCCACCACCCCCGTCTCCATGCCCAGAGGCCTGCCGTCGGGCGCCGGCAAAGGCCTCTGGGTCTACACCTGCCTCTGCTTCCTGAGGGCTGGGAGCCAGCCGTCTCCGCCCGCGCCTGCCAGCATGGCGCGGACCAGGAGCAGCCCTGGCGTGGGTGGCTGAGGGCCTGGCTCGCTGTCTGCCCGGACAGTTGGGATCTGCCACCGCCTGCAGGGACCGTGAGGTCCTCAGGGAAACAAGGCTCGCCAGAAAGCAACGTAAGGGTGATAAGCTCAGAAAGTCAGTGACACCTTGTTGCTGCTGGGCAAGAGGCCTGCGGAGCTGGTGGCATGGTCCTGGCTGACTGGGGTCCTTCTGGGGCTTGCAGTGCACCACAGCATGAGAGAGCTTGTGGCAGTGTGCACATTACCTGTTTCACTGCTGTTTTTTTTCCCCAGAGCTTTGAAGAAGACAAAGGTGGCTTTATTTCACCTCCAAGCCAAACACTTCAGAGAAAAAGATCATCCCTGCCATTTTCCCATGCCACAGGAAAAGCAGAGGTAAGGTGGAGTGAGCAGAGGTTATAGGTGTAGCTGGTGGGCGGTGGGATGCTTTGGGAACAGCTACAATTAATGTGACAGTGTTTGGGTGCTGGGCAAATGGAAGTAGGGGAACAGGATTGATTTGGCACTGGGGGAGCAGAGTGAAATGTTGGGAAGGTAACAGGCCTGTATGGGAAAGGGAAGAGAACCTGTAGTACCAAATGGAGAAAAACTTTTTCATTAAATTTTGGAGATGAGTGAACACCAACTTCCTCATATGCTAGGAGCAAGCAGAGACAGACGAATCAAAAGACAGGACAAAACTACTATTTAACTGCTGTGTTTTAAATTGTGTCATCTGGGAAGTCTGACTATGACTCTTGATCTTGTGATGAAGTCTTACTAATGATTCTGCTGTACTGATTGTTACTGCCTCCATGCTTTGCAGGCATGGAGAGCTACTGTCCAAGTACTGTATGGAAGTAAATACTAGTTGTATGTGAACACCTTTGCTGAAGTGGCTGAGGAGCAAAGCTAGCCATTTCCTTCTCAAAATCTAGACATATCAAATGACATATATTTAAAAGGAAGTTATGTTTTTAAAAAAAATCTGCTTACTGTGGGTTCATCAAGTTATAGTCTACAGATGTTCTTAGGAAATGCAAATTTTTTATGTGGGTAGTCATGTGATGAGACATATGTACCACCTCTGCATTTAGGTAATTATTAACGGATGGATGCAGCATTTGGAAGGCGCCTATCTTCTATAATTTAACATAAAAAGTTCTAGCAGACTTTTAAAGTGTGCTCTAGGAGGCAAACCCTTCTTCAGATGAATTTAAGTGGTGTCTACTATAGTTTTGCAATACATCAGATTATTGTTAATATTTATGTATATTTTAATCTGTAAATACTTACACTTATTTTTATTTATATTAGTATTTTTATATTGTAAGTACAGTTCAGGGGCTACATCCAGCCTGCATACATGGTTTGTATTGCAGGCTTGTATTGCCTTCATTAAAAAAAGAAAAACAAATGACAAGTTGTAGATTTGAATGCAAACATGTTGTTAGCAAGCGGGCTGAGTAGTGGTACAGCTTTTCTCCCATCAATGTGAGGGTGTTTACGGTGTTAATGGGGACCTTCCCATTCTCTCACCATAGATACCATTTTGGAGCCTGCATCGTTTCTGAAGAAAATGTGGATTTAAGGCGCACGTGCTTGATTAAGGTGTCTAAGAGAACATGGTAATTTAAAATGCTCTTTGCAATCCCTTTGTTTTTGCAAAAATGTCTTTTGGGTGTGCCTGGGCCTTCCCATGTCTGAGCAGCAGAATGAATAAAGAAACAGTAAGGTATCATGAAGATATAAAAGGAGACAGTTTTATAACAGTGGGAGTATTCCTAAGTGTACTTCACAATTTATGAAATCATAAGTCACCTCTTCACAGATGGTGAGGTAAAGCTTTTCTAATGCTTGAGCGCCTCTTATTACTCTAAGAGTGCCTGATGTAGATAAAAACATTTTTTTTTTAAAACAGAACATTTCATTGTGGTTGGAATTCAGGTTTTGGTTGTAAAAGTGACTTCTTATTAGGACTCCTCCATATGAAATGCCTCACAGTAAATGAAACAAAGAAAATATCACAATTATATGATTATCGCTAAGCCTGTTAAACAAATTGAGTCTCTGCAAATAACCCTGCGTTTACTTAACGATATGTTGAACTTGCGTTTGTAGCCATACTGCAAAGTCCAGTCTGTGGTGCATATATGTGTTGCAAATTGTAGATTATGCTCTTTTAAAGTAGTCTCAAATTTCTCAAGTATATGGAGGTATTTCTTACTGGTTGGAGTATTAGGTAAATACTGGCAGACCAGTAGTAATTCAAATCACTGGAAACTAATGGAAAAAATTATTTCACCAGTGTCAATGTAAAAGAACTCAGCTGAGGTTACATTCTGTTTGGATACTTCTTTTTCTCATTGGAGATGATTCAGTTGGAGATGACTCTGTTTCGGACAGGCTACCAATGTCATGTCATATGCAGCAATACATCTTCACCTGCTCATGCATGATGTTTTTTCCACTGAAATAAACACGAGCATTACTACTTATTTTAATACTCTTGAGAGCACAGCTCTGCTGGTTTTGGGGTTTTTTTTGGCAAGGTAGTTCTTTTTTTGGGTGGCACATGTACTGAATTAGTGTTTTGCTTGAATGTGAGTTAAGACACAGCTTGAAAACGAGGCTGTTTTAATTGATAGAGCTTCTGGGAACTAACTTTTCTCCTTCTTACAAAGTAATGAAATTGTCTAGATTAAATCAATTCAAATGGAGTGAGACAGTGAGATAATGTGCTAGCCTTTCTATCTGAAAATCTCTCTGCTATTTAGATTGATGGCACCAGGCCAGTATCTAATGGATATATTTGTCTACATTACAGAAGAACTTGCTGCAGTCTTGACTTCTGTATCAGAGAGGTTGAGGATTTGGAAGGTACATTTTTGTACCCCAGAATGAAAACATGCTAGTGGAGCTACACATAATATCTCTTTATATTCTGCACAGGAATTTATTGGGTTTATAATAACCAGATGGACATCTATGTTTTCAGTGACTACTTGAATGAAGTGTTAGTGGCTCAGCATGATCTCGGCTTTTGAGGAGGACTAAAGAGATGTTTAAAATCATCTTCATACCTTTCTGATGCTGGGCTTTATTATAGAAAGCAAGCATTCTGTGCATTGGATACCGAAGAGCATACAGTGGGATTGACGTCCAAAATATGCTTCTCCCAAGTTTAATCAGTGTCTTATATGTAGTATCATATGTGCTTCTTTTTGCTGTCATTTTCCATCCTGAATTTTCTGGTTGTCTGTGCTCTCAGCAGCATGCAAGACCTCCCTCCTTGCTGATTTGCTAGTAGCACCATGTATTCAGCTCATGCAGTATTTCTTTAAATCCCATTTTCAGGCATTTCCTGGTCTGTGCATCCTGCTCCCCATCTGCACGTCTACTCCTTCTGTAGAGACATTCATTTATCTTCTGATGGGTTACAAAGTTCCTAGTCATTAATCTATTGTCTAATTGCTTACCTGTCACATCTCCAAGTGCCTTTTTATGCCATCACTCATTGCTACTGTGGAAGACACAGTACGGGGCTGGATGGACAAATATGCACGCCCAGTAGGCTATGTCTTATGTTTGTACTTCAGGTGCACTGCCGGTACTACCCTGCTTTAGCTTATCGAATGGGTTGTAAAGGAGACCACAAGGACATCAGAAGTACATGTTGTCAGTGAAATGAGACGTGTATTTTCCAAACAGATCATGTTTTCCTCATATGTTTCTATTCCACTGGAAGCATTATAATCCAGGCTTTCCTCTATGAGTAAATATATGAATGTTCTGTCATATGGTATCTGCAAGTGTTAGCATATAATAAATTATTGAAACCAGATAAAATACTCTCAATTATGATCAGTCAGAGCTTAGCCAATTTCACTGAAGTCTGCAGGTTAGCAGAACCACAAGTTTACTTGTTCGCATGGTAGTGGAAGCTTGAAGCAAAGACATTCGGGATAAACTTCTGGGTTTATGCTTTATTGCAACTATAATGACTGCAAGAGTCTGAATGTGGTATAAATAGACATAAAACTGGATTTTGCCCCAAAATATTGGAAAACAATAATTGAGTGGTCCAGCTGCTGTAAATTAGGTCCCTCAATCATTTGTGTACTTGCAGAGGGAAATCTAGCAACCAGAATCTGCATGTATTTCTGGGGAGAATTTTGGTGCTTAGTCTTGACCCTACTAAGAGATTTCTGAGTAATTTTCAGATCAGCTCTGACTGCCTTGTTAGTTTTCTAATGCATAATAAGATTTCATTGTTACTTACATCTTTGGATTTAGGGCTATAATCTGTTAATCCCTAAAATGTCATCAGATAATCTGTTTAATCATAAGCAAAAGCTGATCTTGATAGTCAATATGTGTTACGCAAAATAGTTCAGGCATACTACTACTATGCAAGTACGGAAACTTTCAGATCTTTCTTTCACATTAGTCCATGATTAAAAGTAGTTTTTTGTCAGAGTTTCAATTCAGATGTCTTTGTCCTGGAGCATAATTGAAATCTTTCATGGAGTCTGATATTAAATTTTGGCATTGTAAAATGTCTTAATTTTGAAGCAAGTGTCTAAAATATTTATGATGCGAGGTACTCCGTAGTGGCTTCATGAATAATTTTAAATTATTGATAGGACAATCATCTAGAAAGGCCCAAATACTAGTGTCACAACTCTCTCCAGCGTTCACTATCTGTCGAGTGACATGACAGAAGTCCAGTGATGTTCTTCAGTGTTTTGTTACACCAGGAAGGAGGCCAGTAACTCCTGTGGGTTCCCTTCGTGGCTTCTTGGTAGGAACCTGCTCTCACCAGAAGAAGGCACAGGTGGCCTGGTTTCATCTGTAGGACACAAAGCAGCAAGGTTCAGAGGGAACCCCTCATAGCTATTTTTAGGGAAAAAAATAACCCTATGTATCCTGTGTAGAATGAATTAGTATACCAACTAGTAATGTTACCTCTGGGCTTAACTGCTGCGTGTTACTGGGCTTGTAAAAGCTTTGGTTGCTACACATGACAGCCCATCATCTTAGCAGTTCGCTTGTCCCACTTGGTTCTCAGATGATGTTATTTGAAGCTACAGGACTGGTTTAAGTTTATGAAGACATTGACTTACCCTGTGGCTGTCACATTCCACGTGATATTTGCATCTTTGCAGTAACTAAACCCCAATGAATTTAGGAAGGGTCTTGTATTCAAAGACTGGCCTTTCTTGACAACTAACTGAATTCTTGTGTGGTTGCCAAAGAGGTGAGAGTGACCATGTACATCACCATTGTGTTATTTCACCTGTAGGTGAGGGTAGAGGGAGCCATCTGAACACTTCCAGTTAGAATTTCATGCTCAGAAGTTGTACTCGGAGCCAAACTGCATTTCCAGAAAAAGTATGTACAACTTGATCCTCTGTAATTCTTTCTGAGTCATCACCCCTGTAGGAACGAGCGTCTGCACTTGGATGAAGCCTTTAAGGAGCTGAGCTGGAGGCACTACTGACAACAAGCAAAGAAAATGAAGTCTGCGCAGACCCAGGGTCATCCAGAAATGTTTCTGTTCCTCATCCCTGTTCTTTTGCCTCAGGCTGCTTTGGACTAGTTTGACATTCAGTCCTCATGTTGTGAAATGCTGAAGTAAGCAGACCTGTGATTGTAATGTGCCTAATATAATGGAACCTGTTCCTGATTAGATCTTGGAGTGGTGCTGTAATGCACTGGCCTTGATTCCTGCCTGGCAGCTCATGTGTCAAGTGAAGTATTTCCAGAAGTATCCCCAATCTCTGGGTCTCCCAGGAATTCCCAGGTGGTGTCATA